CCCGCCCCCCCCCGGCAGTTCCCACGGTGGGAGCTGGGGCAATGCCCCCCGGAGCTGAGGGAGGGGCAGGACCAAGCTCTCCCTATGGCCGGGTCTCAGGCGTGTATGGTTCACCCACTTTTCCCCCTCACTTAACAAATCTTTCATTACTTTCTTTTAACTCAAACATTGCTCCGTGGAAGCTCTGCAGTCTCCATGTAATACTAGCTAAATGGCGCAGCTTTCACACGTGTCTAGGGCTCTCCCCACCCTTTCCAGCAGCCGTGAGCTACTGAGCTTTGTGAACTGGCTTTGAAATATTACAACACTGTTTTGTTGCACCAATTTTATAGACTTGTGCAATACATGTTATTTTTCAGAGACGAACCAAAGGTTAATTTCTCAGGGTTCTTGCTGCCTACTTTAGTGGCATTTGATGGAGGATCTTTTACATACACTTGTAATAGTTGAAAAATAAACCAGATTAAAGATTCTTCCCCCTCCCCCCCGGGGGTTACCCTCCTATTACTAGGAGGGTAGTAGGCTTGAGAGTTTGGCAAAGCTTGAGGGTTAATTCCTCCTTTTTTTTTTTTTTTAATGCTTAAACCATGTACCAAGTTTTTGGTCCAAATCATGTAGAATAAGTTAAACTTAAATTGCCTTCTATTAACCAATGTGAGTGTATTTCTCTAAGCATAGTTAGGTTGAAATAAAGTCATAAAAAGCAAAACAAAAAAACAACAACCCACAATAAAACCCATTTATACATGGAGAAAGGTTTCCACCTTTTAGTTTTTAAAAAAATATTTTTATTGATTTCAGAGAGAGGAAGGGAGAGGGAGAGAGAGAGAGAGGGAGAGAGAGAGAGAGAGAGAGAGAGAGAGAGAGAGAGAGAAATATAATAATGAGAGAGAATCATCGATCGGCTGCCTCCTGCACACTCCCTACTGGGGATCGAGCCCGCAACCCAGGCATGTACCCTGAACTGGAATTGAACTGTGATCTCCTGGTTCATAGGTTGACTCCCAACCACTGAACCACACCAGCTGGGCTCCATCCTTTACTTTTTAAACATAAGAGGCAGAACCACAATATGAGTTCAATTTAAAATTATGAGAGATCACATTCAAATACACTTGGGTCAGACAAGTTGCTGTTATAACACCAAGACATTTATGGAAAAGATATTCGGTGATTTGTAAGAGAATCAAATATCTTTTAGCTACTTGAGCTAACACCTTGAGTAAATTGTTTAAAAATGCTGTCTTTTGGATTTCAAATTGTTATAAAAGAATTTTCAGGATTATGTAGCTATACTTTCTGAATTACTCAAACTCATTCCACTCCGAAGGCAGCAGGTAAATGCTATGGATTAAAACATTCCATGAGACCGCTTCTTCTTTGCACTTACCTATCAAAGTCAAAAACTAGCCAACACTTTCCTGAAGACGTAGCACTTTTTAGAATACATTAGCGTAGTCATAACCGACTACTGTCCTAGGAGGTCAGGGCTGGGCAGTAAGGGAGGCCTGGGGCCAACATGTATAGACCAACCTTTACACGTGTGGATCCCGGAGTCAGATGCCAGGGTTCTGACTCAGTGGATAGAATGTCAGCCTAAGGACTGAGGGGTCCCAGGTTTGATTCCGGTCAAGGGCATGTACCTTGGTTGCGGGCACATCCCCAGTAAGGGGTGTGCAGGAGGCAGCTGATCGATGTTTCTCTCTCATTGATGTTTCTAACTCTCTATCCCTCTCCCTTCCTCTCTGTAAAAGAATCAATAAAAAAAATCATGTATATAGGACTGGCTCTGACACTTACTAACCCTGAGCAAGTCACTTGACTCTGTGCCTCAGTCTCCTGACCTGTAAAATGGAGAGATTGCTAATAGTCACCTCAGGGGATGGCTATGAGGATTAACATGTGTCACGGGGTACACACGTGTGATGCTGGCCACGATCCTTATTTAGTACACGCTAAGAGCAGCACGTTTCTCCCGGAACTTACTGCGCAGGTGCGCCAGGCTGTCGAGGCTGGGAAGCCCAGTGGTGGGTGGCAGCCCTCAAGCAGAAAGGGAGACTGGCTGGGGCGAATAGAGATGAGAAAACGGGGCTTCACAGTTGGGGATGGGTGGCAGGGGGCGGGCACCCTGCATCAGCGCTGCCTCCTCTGTGCCCACAGGAGCTGAAGAGCCTGCTGGTGACAGGGCCCCGCACAGAAGCGCTGGGGTTAATGAGCCCCCCGGCTGTGGAGCCCTGCACCCACGTGGGGGCAGCCGGCCTGGAGAGCCTGCCGCTGGTGGGGGCGAGTCCAGCCGGGAGCCCCTCGTCCCCCAGGGACCTTCCCGAGCCCCGGGTGACCACGGAACATACCAACAACAGGATCGGTGAGTCGGCTTGTGTGGGGGTCCTAGCGTGGTCAGGGTTAAGAGGGCAGTGGGGAGATGGGTGCTGGGCCCCTGGCTCCCACCTGGAAGTGGGGACCCTGGGTCTGAAAGGCCCCAGGCGTGGACTCTCCCACGGCCTTGTGAGTGGGAGGTGCTTTTGGTAAGAGCATTAGATGTGCTTGGCTACCCCGTGCAGCTGTGAGACAGCGGTGGGCCCTGACT